ATATAAACACATGTAGCCTGGTCCGTGTATACATGTAACCAAGTTTTAGGTCGATCTGGCATCTTTTGTGGTGGTGGGGAGTATGATGTCACAGATCAGAGGACGCGATTCTCATAGATTGACTTTAAAAACGCTGCACTTTCAAGATGGTGATGTTTGGGAGATGTTTGTCAAAGAGAGAGTTCCTGTCAGCCGAGCGAGAGAGAACACAAATGATGAAATTAATGTGGGCTTTCAACGAGCATTCATTTCAGAATGCAGACAATAATACATGTACTCAGTCCTGCCTCAGCTCACTATATAGCCTTTTGCATAAATTAAGGAGAAATGCGGTTGTCTATATTTTGAGTTTAAAAAACTCCCCTAAGATTTTTCGCTTTGTGAATATTATTACCCCTTGCATTCTTAGACCATTAAAATTTACTCTACTTCACAAGATTTTAGACCTTTTGGAGTGCATATCAGTGCCCGGTTTTCTCTTCATACAGCTGGAGTTTCTTTTTGTAAATATGTTTTACGGCATTTGAAACGCAATAAAGTCATGTAAGTGCAGAAGATTAGAGGTGTTACAAGAGAGTAGCAAACACCAAAAGAAGGAGGGGAGACCAGGACGATAGATGTTTGATGGGAAAGAAGGGGCACACCACACGTTGTCTTACGTCCATGATTTGACGTCTTCAATTCCTTGACCCATGTTTAAAATTAACGAATCACCACTATCTGATTACTAAAAAACATATAACAGAGTATCATTGGCATAAAATAATATCAAAGCATAAACCAAGTGTTCTAATTATATGGCCAAGAAATAAAGTGTATAGGGTATTATTAATTATTATATACAATAGGTTTTAGTGCTTTTTAAAAATTGAACGAATTTTTTTTATAAAAATCAAACACATCAAACAAACAAAAACTCTTTTAAGCGCATCAAAATCCCAACATTACAATGCTGCAGTGGTGAAGAAACTACGGAAGATAACCGCAATATTAAAATAAGGAATAGATTATTTACAGTTGCCTCCCTTTACCTCTGTGTGATGACTTACGCAGTTGGCACAGAGTAATTCCCCGGTGCATTCCCTTCTCATGTCTTGGCTTGTGGGCTCCGCTCAAAAACTGGTTATTTTAGTTTTAGTAAGGTTTTACGGCGCTCACAAACTGCATAAGGTCATATGAGCCCCAAGGGGTGGATGTCAACAGAGAAGTCCAAACGAGAGAATCAGGCTTACTCTGGTCACCTCTCTAGCTTCAACAGTACAAAGTCTGCTTCGACTATCAAGGCACCTCGGAAACGGCAGTTCACAAGAGAGTGACAAACATACATAAGAAGTAGAGGAAAAATGACGATAGTAAGGATGAGGGAAAAAAAAGCAGCAGTTCCCCCTATGTTGTTCCGGCACAGTATGAGCATGGCATTGATAAATCAGCCCATTTACAATTCTACTGTGCACAAGAACATGTGAATATATCCCGCCTTTGGGAATGGCCTAAAGACATTTCAGTCATTTGCACCGCCCTGGAGGGGGGGGGGGGTGGTTTAAAAACTATAGCATGCTTGGATTGACATTCCCCCGCTACCCCCCTCCCCAACCCCTAACCTTTTCCCCAGTTTCTCACATTGATGAACTGTATAGGCCTACCTGTAGGTGTCATCTCTGACTCAGAGGTTGACGTGTAATGACTAATGACCCCCCATTATTCACGGTCGCGAGCTGCCGTTGCACATTCTCTGCTCTATCCAGCCCAATCCTTGTTTTTATGTTGTACTTCCACGTTACTCTTTTGTCTTCCACAGGCTCTCGAGAACCTTTTATCCTTCGGGTCCTTCAAGCACCTATTTCATAATAGTCTTGAGATGGACTGTAGGCCGATGGTTATGTCAACTGTTCAAAATATGGCAGTGGGTGGTTGGCGGGTGCTCTGGTGAGTTTACTTCTTCTTTCCTATCAAACATCTATCGTCCTTATCTCCCCTTCTTCTTTTTTAAAATGTTTGTTACTCTCTTGTAACACCTCTAATCTTCTGGCGCTCATATGACCTTATGAAGTTGCGAGCGCCGTAAAACCTGTACTAAAACTAAAATACTGGCAAGCTTTTGATCTTTGCAAAAGCATCACATTGGCCGGCCGTGGCAGAAGCTACAGTTAAGTTATGTTTACCTTTACCTGTGTTTTCTTCTACACTGCTCAACAAGAAAACATACTCCTCTGATACACACACATACGCGCACATGCACACACACACACACACACACACACACACACACACACACACACACACACACACACACACACACACACACACACACACACACACACGCATATTTTATATCATCATCATCATCATCATCATCATCATCATCATCATCATCATCATCATCATCATCATCATCGTCATCATCATCATCATCACAGCGTCATATTTGTTTTAAAAGCAGGGTAGATCTAGATAGGGATCAGAATCTATAATTGATTGTTTTACGGGTTCGGTGAACGGCCCATGACGGGCTTCTGGTTTGTTTGTTTTTTTCCCGTTAAATTCTCATGCAACAGTCTTCTCTAAGAGACCATATTCCCGTTGCTACTATAATATTTTTATATTTTATTTCCACTGTGCATTATAATAGCAATTGTCCATCAGCTATCACTGCCAGACAAATTAAGCTATTTCTGAACGCTTATTTTGGCAGTCATTGAAATGTTCATTTTTTCTTCTTCTTAGAATTGAACTCATATTGCTTAAATATTGTCTTTAACTAGGCTACCGGTATTGCAAACCTCCGTCATATTTCGGTGAAATAATTAACGGGTGTAATTACATGTATAACTGTGTCCAAATATTCTCTTGGTGTTCAAATCTTTGAAGTTGTTCGATCTTTTCACCTTTGCGTATGGGATTACAAAAATGCTGCATTTTAGATACATCTTTTACCCTGCACCCTGTTTTATTTTCGTTGAAAAGTAACCTTTTACATTAACTTTCCGTTACAATAAAAGAAGCAGTTATGCAGTCTTTTAAAAACTGTGTCATGATCGGCATCTCATCTGGATGAAAAATAATAAATAGGCCTAAAAAGCTAAAGCTCATAAAAAAGGTTCCCGATATTCTCAGATTAACTTATTGGACATTATATTATACATGTATTGGTGTCAACAACAGATTCACCGTGGGCTAATCGTTGACAAACTTGCAGCTTCAATAAACTAATCGTCTCTACTCGCTGCGACGGGAGCGCAGAAGAAGAATTCGCCCTGTGATGAGGAAAAAAAGAATGTTGAAAAAAATTCTATGCACAGCTGATATTACTGTCACTGGGTCAAAGGCCAAAGGTCATATCACCACTTTAGTTGACTTGCCACTCTGGCTGTGCCAATTTTGAGGTACAAATGTACACGTCGTCCACAATGAAAGCTCACAATAACATATTAGATTGTAGCAAGCTTCTTGAATACAGCAAAAATTTAAATAAGTATTTGCAGCCCTATATTTTTGGTAAAAATGGAAATTATTTTACGAGTTAGGTTGCTTGAAATATCGGGCACAATGTCGTTAAGCCATACTATCGGTACTGGGGGGAAACCTGGCTAGTTTGTGTGCAGGGATAAAGTCCGATCATTCATTCTGTCTTTCTTTTTCCTCAGTCAGATAACACAAGCCGGTGGGGCGGATAGATCAGTGCCTCTCTGTTACAACTTCTATAAGCCTGTGTGAAGTCATTCTTAGAAACAAAATGGGAAAAATCAAAGGTAATTCTTCCGCTTTTAGTAGCATTGTACATCTGTAACAACTGTAAATGTATAATTATGTGCTGCCCCTCCCTATTCGTCTTCGTAAAGTCAAGAATATCAGCAGACAATGAATGGCAGCAATTTTCTAGATCTAGTCGTTAGCAACAGCAGCAGACAATTCATACAATGTTTTTATTCACAATTATCCGTCTACAACGCGCGGGTTTTGGACCTTGCAACTTACAGAGTCTTACAAATACCTTACTGCAACCCTGCAGGATCTAGAAAATCCAGATTCTAGGCTTACTCAACAAATGTTACAGTGGTAGCCTACACAGTCTCGCCGATTTGACGGACGGACTTGCCCACCTCCTGACTAGAATCTAGATCTAGGCTAGACTCTAGAATCTAGATCTAGATCTATCTAATAGACTACAATGACTTTGTCTTGTTACTTTTCTCAACTGACGCTGAAAAGACGCAGAATTAAACCTACCCCTACCCCTCTAATCCTAACTCTTACCTCTATAGTAGGCCATAAAACTGCTCTTGGTGTTCTAATTACTCTTGGGGCCAAAACTGGAGATTGTTACACCCAGATACTTTGAAGTAGCCTATTATTGATTGATTATGTTTCTTTGTCTTGTAATATTTCAACGAATTTTTTAAAAATGTATTATTTTACTTTCACTCCCATCTCGCATAGTCTATATATCACACTAGATTCTAGATCTACACTCAGGTATTGTATAGAGATCTACAGCACTTTTTTCCCCTCCATTTTCATCCGTTTTACTGAAATTTAAATTTATACTCCGCATCATGTTTAAAAATAAAAAATCTTGGGAGTTTCGGGGGTCCAGTTGACAGATTACCCCTCCCCCAACCTAAAAAAAATC